GACTCCTTTTTTAGCAGCAGCCGCCCCCGTGGCCTTCTTGGGCTTCTTAGCGGCGCCAGTTCCTTTGGTTTTCGCTGCCACCTTTACAGCGCTGGGCTTCGCTTCCACAGAGGCTACTTTCTTACTGAGCTTGAAAGAGCCTGAGGCGCCGGTGCCCTTGGTCTGTACCAGGGTGCCTTTGTTCACCAGGCTCTTAAGACCCAGCTTGATGCGGCTGTTGTTCTTCTCCACGTCGTAGCCGGCGGCCGCCAGCGCCTTCTTGAGCGCAGCCAGGGAGACGCCGCTGCGCTCTTTGGAGGAGGAGACGGCCTGCACAATCAGCTCCGAGACCGAAGGACCCGCGGGCTTTTTTTTCGTGGCGGCTGCAACCTTTGCAGGCTTTTTCACTTTTTTGCCAGCTGAAACCTTCTCAGGAGGAGTGGAAACAGCTGGAGCGGGCGGCGCGGTCTCCGACATGGTGAACTCAGAAAAAGACCAAGAACACTACTTACACCCAACAAGGCAGTAAGACGCAACAGGACCCCGGAGCGCGGTATTTATAGGGCGGGGCCGCGCTGTGATTGGTGCCCGCTGGTGCCCGCCCCGGGCACCCTAGCGCCCCCTGCGCTCCTCACCCGGACTCAGAGCAGCCGGGGGCTGCTGGGGCCTAGGGTCCTGCTTCCCTGCAGCTTTCACACAGGCACCCAGACAGTTCCCCCCAACCCCCCGCCTCCAGTCGCCTCCTGGAGACGAAAATACCAGGCTGGGAAGGGTCCGGCTCTCTCGCCACTTACCATCAGAGGGTGCTACTTCCCTTTAAAAAAGCAGGTCTTTGAGTTTCACCTGAAACACCTCTAGGAAGAAATATCAGGGACATTAATTTCCAATCTGCAATAAATGCAAGATTATCTTGCGTGACTTGGGAGGGAGAGAGGAAAGCGAGGGGATGTAGGCCTGGTCTGCAAGTTTGGGATGAGTTCTCATCTATGCTGTTGCCTTTACTGGCAGCGCTGAAGAGTGATGTGTAATTAAGACCTGAGGCGTGGGTGCCCTCTGTCTGCACCGGGGGGGCGGGGGGGGGGCGCGTTTATGTATTTGGAGCAAAGAATTGTTGGAAACAACAGAACTGGTGAACACTGCAATTAACACTCAAGCTGTACGTGTGGAAAACGTAGCACGCAATTTCTGTAATTGCAACTTATTTCTACAGCCCAAAGCACTTAACGAACTTTCGATGCTTTTTCATCCTCGGGACATATGCCAAGATCAAACCCTAGCGCTGGGTAGACTAAGCTGTTCCCTGACAGGCATTAACAGCGGGGAAGTGGGAGGTAGGGGAGATGGGGGCGGGGGTAATTTGATTTAATATGAAAATGAGAGGGAACAGCCCCGGGATAACATTTTAGGGCAATTTCCCTTTAACTTGTTTCTCGAAGTAAAGAACACGTAAAACCGTTAACAATACTAAAACGACTTCACATTGCGAGTCAGACTAACTACTGAGAGAATAAAATGCCCCCCTGACAACCCTGTTTTGAGTAACATCCCCCAACAATTCTCCAAGGGCAATCGCGTAGCGGCCAGGGGAATGAAGCAATGACACGACTATCCCGCTCGCGCGCGATACTGCGGTTTTCAAACAAGTCCGCACTGGCCTGAGTAACCTGAGCTTCCCGGCTTTCCCAGAAAGAGCTCCTAACTGACTTTCAGCCAATAAAGCAACGGTTCCAGAAACACATTTAATCTATTTTCTCGACCACCCTTTCCTGCTTCCCGTTTTCTTGAGAGTTTGTTTCAAAGGGCATTATGTAATTTCTAAGAACTTGGTAGAGAAGAGAAAAACTGGAACTATGCATCTTAGTTTGAAGATAGTTATAACACAGGTATATAATCTTTCTCCAGGAGGAAGGTTTCATAAGCGAACATTTTCGGAAAACCATAAACAGGCTTTTCTTAGAGTAATAAGTGTAGCATCTAATCAAACAAAGCCTTTAAAAGGGAAATACTATTCTCAGGAATTTCTTGTTTAGATAATGAACTGTGTGCCTCCTGTGTTCTTTGGAATAAACAGGCATCAAACGAAACAGGACAGCTCCATGCAAATAAGGGATGCTAGATCTCCTTTCTTAATGGCTATTCAGTATAATATACTCAACCAATCAAATGGTAGCATCTGGGATACCGCCTCTTAGTATAGAAGAGTTATATTAGGCATTTCTTGAACTTGAAATTTCTGTCGAAAGTATATTAGGCCTTGGTAAATCCTTCTCTTTACGGCCCCAAATCCATTTATTGGGCAGAGTTCAGTACTTGCTCCCTAAAGGGCAGTTTATCTAATGAGCTATTGGGCCAGGCGAGATTTTGTATCTGGCAATGCATCGGCCAAAGTGTATTCTAAGCTTTTAGTAAATTTTAGAAAACTCTTTTTAAGTGTAAAAACCAGAGTGTAAACACTTAACAAAATGGTGTATTTAAGACTGCACAGACTTCAAATGAGTTTCTCACTTTAACCTTTACAAAGGAATTTCTTGTAAAATGGTTTTGGAAATTTCTAACCGCGTAGCGGGCTTAGGCGAGAGAAAGTGAAAGTATTGGGGCAATATCCCATCATTTCCGCCCAGGAACTAAGTAAATGTACAGAAAGTTACAGAACTACTGTACCAAATACTTAATGTCTATTTTTTTTTTTGAAAACTTAACGGTCAAAGTATTACATTCAGATGAAAATCGTATGTGGAAAAGAACAAGTTAAAATTTGAAGAGCCAAGGATAGAACATAGTACCCAATGAGACTGCACGGTTGTTGGACGGTTTAAAGATAGACCAATCAGAGCCTGGACGTAATAGTTAAACATTTTTCTCATCCAATCACTACACCTTAGGTACTATAAATACTAGCAATGATGCCGGGCGACATATTTGTGCAAGTGTTTCGTATATTCATTTTAGGGCTTGTTTGTCATGGCTCGAACTAAACAAACTGCTCGCAAATCAACTGGCGGCAAGGCGCCGCGTAAGCAGCTAGCTACCAAGGCGGCCCGCAAGAGCGCGCCGGCTACGGGCGGCGTGAAGAAGCCGCACCGCTACCGGCCCGGCACGGTGGCCTTGCGCGAGATCCGTCGCTACCAGAAGTCCACGGAGCTGCTGATCCGTAAACTGCCGTTTCAGCGTCTCGTGCGCGAGATTGCCCAGGACTTCAAAACAGACCTCCGGTTTCAGAGCTCAGCCGTAATGGCACTGCAGGAGGCATGTGAAGCCTATCTTGTGGGTCTTTTCGAGGATACCAATCTGTGCGCCATTCATGCCAAGCGCGTCACCATTATGCCAAAGGACATCCAGTTAGCGCGCCGGATCCGTGGAGAGCGGGCATAATTACACTACCATTTTTCTTTGAAACCTCAACCAAAGGCTCTTTTCAGAGCCACCCATGTTTTCAAGTAAAGTGGCTGTAAGAAACTAGTTTTATCAACTCGTAAGTGGTTTAGTATCACTATCTGTTGGAAGTGAACGGATATAGCTCAACACTCCTAGGTCATGGGTACTTCTGGTTTAAATACCCCTGCATATGCGAACAAACTGGCCTTTTACAATGTTAAATATTGCTGTTCTTTTATGCACTAGCAACCAGTTTCAGAGGCACGGGAAAGAATTGGCATTTGCCCTGAACATTTTAAAAACATGGACTTTGAACATTAGTTGCAAAACATAAACAGGGATAGTATAGAGCTTTATCAAAACAATTGGATATGAGTAAAAAGCAAAACAGCTTTGAAAATGCTGATTTGTCATTAAGTATAAACAAATTTGCATTTCTTTGATCTTGATATTTTTGCGATTAACAAAACTTAGCGTGAAAGTTTGCCTTGAGTATTTTTGAAATCATAAAATGTTTCCTCTAAGCCTAGTTCCTCCAAGTACTGTAGCTACAAAGATGTAGCTCAGCTGAAGATCAAAGACTAACAGTCAAAGCGGGCTCTGCCGGCTCGCCACGCCCTTCGCGAGTTCCCGGGGCTTGGAGGAGGGGTTAAGGGAGGGCACTGTTGGCGTCACATTTCCCGCCTGCCTGCGCGCTTTCCTTTCTCTATATGGGGGAGGGGGAACGGGGTAGTTATATAAAGATCGGCTCTCAGCTTCTTCGTCACTCGTTGGGTTGGTTTCTGCAGAACCATGTCTGGACGCGGCAAAGGCGGCAAGGGTCTCGGTAAGGGAGGCGCTAAGCGCCACCGCAAGGTGTTGCGAGACAACATCCAGGGTATCACCAAGCCCGCCATTCGGCGTCTGGCTCGGCGAGGTGGTGTGAAGCGCATCTCCGGCCTCATCTACGAGGAGACCCGCGGGGTGCTGAAGGTGTTCCTGGAGAACGTGATCCGGGACGCCGTCACCTACACCGAGCACGCCAAGCGCAAGACTGTCACCGCTATGGATGTGGTCTACGCGCTCAAACGCCAGGGGCGCACCCTCTACGGCTTCGGAGGTTAAGCATTGATTTCGCCATCCGGACCCTGCATTTCTCAACCAAAGGCCCTTTTCAGGGCCACCCAACTACTCAAAAAAGAAAGCTGTAATCACTAGCCAAGACACAGGAGTCTGCAGTTAAATATTGTAGTTAAAATGAACGGTATTAAGACATCTGTGAATCGGGACTGTAGGAATCAGGTAAAGTTCGGTCCGATATCTGTGTACCAACGTAGCTCCCTCGTTTCCACACTCCTGCCCCATTCTCTGGATCCTTGTAGGGGGAATACTCATTAAAGTGAAACCCCCCCCTGTGGCAAGAAACTTGAATCTGTTTCCATGAACAAAGAGAAACACTACCCAATCAGCAAGCCACATCCGTGGCTGTCAACCAATCAGAACTGATGATCTCATGTTCCGGAGGTGACCCATATTGGGGGGATGGGAAAGCCGGCGAGAAACGCCAAAGCTCAGGTTTAAATAATTCTTTTAAACTCGTCTTTTTACGGATTATAGGCCCTCAGACATCTGTATGGCTCTCAGTCATGTCCTGAGAACAGTAGTGACATTACCGCCACTAAAAGGGTGATTTGTCTCGATTGAGAAATCCGAAATGTTGGGCAGAAGAAACCAGATTCAAACTGCCAGAAAACCCAAGGCATTTAATTCGGGCAAATTTCAATTAATTACGGCGAATTTAAAATCTAGTTTATGGGGAAACGCGCTTCCCTTTCGGCAACAATACAGCCTTCAGCAGTTATCCATACTTTTTTCCTTCCTTCACAGAGGAATGAAAATTAGGATGATGGAAATGTTCTAAAATAGACTCTAGTGATTATTCAACTAATATACTAGAATTCATTGATTTGTATACTTAAAGTGGGTGAATTTTATGGTATATAAATTATATCGCCATCTCTCCCCCCCTCCCCGGGTGTCAGGAGAATAAGTTTGTTTGTGGAGTAGGCACTGTTGGTCTGTGATGAGGTGCTTCTGCCTCCTTGGTCTAGTCAATCATTGTTGCCACAGAAGGTTTTTAAGTTAGGATGTCCCTAGTCCAATAGTGCGTTCCAGTAGTATACCAGACTTAAAAAGTCAGCTGGAGAAGGGACATGAATTCATCTGAAGTTGGCTAATAGGGAAACAGCTTATTCTCATCTAAAAAGATACACACAAATGTCTCTGTCATTGGGTTATTTTTGGTATTTTTATAGAGGGCTGGTTTCAGCTTCAGTATTTTAGTTTCAGCTAGTGTTTCTCAAAGATTTTGGGGTCCCATGTCCCACCTGGTAACTGTCCTCCAAGATATCTTGGGGAATGATAAAAGTACCTAGCCTGGCTTAATTTAAACCGACAATGGGGAGAGTTCAGAGCGGCATCTGGGATGACAGAGGAGCAAAAAATGGGCCTGGCTGAGGGAGTGGTCACTTTGTTTTCCTGAGCTGGTGTCCTTCAGGAGATATGTATTGATTTCATGTAATGTGCCAGATACTGTTGTAGGCGTCAGTAAGCAAATTAGAATTTCCTGTCCTCCACTCACAGTATGTGTATTGAGGTGTGCGAATACAGATTTCCTACACTGGAGGAACTTGTATTTGCTGCATAAACCAGCCTCTGCTATTGGACTGTCTTTTTTAGTTCATAGCCTTGTCTATAGTATGCTCATTTTACTCATACCCACCACCACCCTGAGTGAAAATCTGTGAGCCTTCCTCAGTTTTAACTCATGAACTCATTTAGAACATATATAATGCTGCTTGATTTTCTACTTTTGCTTCATTCCTTAGACCTAGAGAAAACCTGTCATGCTGATTAAGGCAATAGCAGGTCAAGGAATCCTAGATGGAGAGTCAATCATGGCAGCATTCTTGTGGGCCTGGGCCTGGGGTGGGAGAGGCCTGGGCACTTGTGTAGAATATTCATGCATGTATTTATTCAACTCTGCCATGTGAGGACACAGTGAGAAGGCAGCAATTTATGAAGCAGTAATTGGGTCCTCATCAGACACAGGATCTGTCTGAATCTGTCCAGCACCTTGACCTCAGATTTAAATCTCTAGAACTTTGATGTTTGTTGTTCAAGCCACACAGTCTATGGTATTTTTGTTATAGCAGCCTGAAATAAGACATATTTTATGGATATAGAAAATACTTAATTTATCCCATCCTTCTGATGACAATTTACATTGTTTCCAGTTGTTTACTCTTACATTGTGCTTCAAGAAACTGTTCTTAGTGATCTCATCCACTTTCACCATTTATATGCTTATTCCCAAAATTTTACCTTCACTTCAGACCTCTCACCTGAATTCAATAATCTCCCTTTCCCAACTGCCTAGTCAATATTCCCTCCAGTGTCAAGAGACAGATGTCAGCTGAGTAACCAGGCAGCAAAGTGTTTCTTAGAGCAGTCATCAATACATTTCTCAAACCTTAAATCAAGGATGCTGATTATTCAGTTGGCTGGTTTATCAATTTAAGGATATACTTTAAAGAACTGTTACAACCATATTGTTTGAAAATTTCATTTAAAAAAAACCAAAAACAAAAAAAGAAAAACAATTAACAGCAGAAGAAAGGAGAGATTAGGTGGAAAGAGGGGTAAGGTACCAGGGAGCCTTCTGAGAGCCATTTTACCGCAAAGGAGGGAGATTTTCCCTTACAACCTAAAAGGCCTAGGGGTTCAGAACAGACTCCCTTAGTCAGTAAAAGGGAATTTACAAATTCTGCTTAGCCAGAAGCTTAGGGAGGAGACCTAGCCTAAGGATGAAAATCAGGAATGCTGAGGCAGTTTTAAAACAAAGATCTTCGGCTTTGGTGGGGGTGACTACACTCAGCATGATACCTGACTCAGACTCAGGAGGTACTGGCCTAGAAGATCTGGGGCCAGGACCCAGTGGAGGACGACGAGTTTGGGGAGCTGGGGAGCGAGAGAGGTCAAAGAGATCTTTCCTGACAATGCTCAGGGGAAGCATACTAGGAATGAACACCCAGCATTTTCTGTTAACGTATTCTAATTGATCTGGCTTCCTGTGAACTACCAGAAGCACCGTCGCAGGCTCTGCTAGTTTGTACTCAATGAATCTTCCTAGGATTAAAAATGCGCTCGGCGGCGATTCAGCTCAACTCCAGCCTTCCAGGAAATTGCCGAGAGAAACTACCTCCTTCCAGAAACCATAACCTGTAGCTTTTAGGCGATGTGGGGCAACGTACCCCTCCTAAATATTGAGAGCCAGGAATTCCAAACTACACGTTTTTCAGAGAATCCCTGAGGCCTCTCCCGCGAGCGTCCCTTAGTCCAGCCTTAGCCCCACCCAGAAGCAAGCCCCTGCTGCCCGATTGGCTGAAGGTACCACCACTCCTAGCAAACAGCAAAAGATTGGCTTAGAGGCGTTGTGAGAGCGAGCTGCTTGGCCTATGTAAAAAGTTAATACTCGTTCCACCAGTGTCAACCGTTAACCGCTCAACTCACGTACAGCTCTTTCTGGGAGAAAGTGGGCGGCCCTAAAAAGGGCCTTTAGAAAGAAAAAAAAAAGCATTAAGACGAGATTCTAACCGCCGAAGCCGTAGAGCGTGCGTCCCTGGCGCTTGAGCGCGTAGACCACGTCCATGGCTGTGACAGTCTTGCGCTTGGCGTGCTCGGTGTAGGTGACGGCGTCCCGGATCACGTTCTCTAGGAACACCTTCAGCACCCCGCGGGTCTCCTCGTAGATGAGGCCGGAGATGCGCTTCACACCACCTCGCCGAGCCAGACGCCGAATGGCGGGCTTGGTGATACCCTGGATGTTGTCGCGCAGAACTTTGCGGTGGCGCTTAGCACCACCCTTACCGAGACCCTTGCCGCCTTTGCCGCGACCAGACATGGTTGCCCTAAGCCGCTCTATACGTGCACTACGCAGATAGTGAGCCTGCTGGTTGGCCAAGAGTAATTATAAGCTGCAATCGGACCTCATTGAGAACTGAAAGTTCAGGCGGGAGAAGCAGCACTGCGACCGCCTCCTCGGCTCCTCCCCTCTCCGGCTAGTGATCCAATGACTACGTGGGAGAGAGAACATAGTAAATAGGTTCACTTTTAAACTCTGGATTGTTTTGCTCCCTTGGCTCTTTGCATCTGAAGTTATATCTGCCACTGATAATTTTAATAGAGGTTTTTATTTTATGACAAATACTGTACTTTCTCATTCAGAAGGGAGTGATTACTTGTGAAGCGTAGCTGAATATGACAGCCCCCATGTGTTTCTTTGGCCTAAGGACTATTTTTGAGCTGATTGATTTTTTTCTCTTAAAGTAGATACAAAAACATTTCTAAGAATAGAACTTACTTTTTTGTAAGGCACATTTACATTTATAAAGGAAATCTCAATTTGTGTCTCCTTCTCTGTATCAGGAAATGAGTGGAAATCACCAGAGAATCTCATCAATGAGAAGGAACTGGACTTAATTCTGTATAACATTATCTTTGTTCCTTTTCTTGGTAACTGGCTCTCTCCCACTTCTTTTGTCGTTAGCTTAAGATGATATTTAAGGTGGTAACTTGTGCCAATTTGAGGAATTTTGCTCAGTTTTTTTCTGGATCTCTCTCATGCATATGAGGTATCCATGTTACTAAAGAAACTTTCATTTTTCTCTTGTTAATCTGCCTTCTTAAGAACTTGGATGGGTAGAAGGAAAATTATTGTCCCTCAATTATACGTACAGTATGCCGATTATTTTGTGCTGTAGCAGAATAGCAGCAAAGGCAGGGAGGCTTTTCTGTGAACTCCCATTATCTGCCTAAAGACAACCTCCAAAAGGAACTCAGTTGTCATAAATCCCTTCCCAAGAAGTCTCATTAACCAGGGAAGTGTGATGCTTATCACAGGAAAGGAGACTAAAAGTTGACACTACACCCAGACATCCCTTGTCACAAAACTATTGTCTGCAAAAATTGTCAAGCTAAGAGAATTTTATTTGCGCCAACCTGAGGATTATAACCCAGAAGACAGCCCTTCAGGAAGCTCTGAGGACTGTTCTGCTTGTTAGAAGTCAAAGCAGTTATAAAAGTTTTTGAGACAAAGAGTTATATGTCAAAGTTACATATTGACAGTCTACATAATCCAGATCCGCAGGTACAAGGCAAGCGGTGGGGTCATTAAGACCCTTTCAGGATTGAGGAAAATGTTTTCTCCTAAGGTGTTACCTTGCTGGCACCAGAAGAAAACTGCTCTTTTCAAAGAGGCATTCCTGTATCTTCCTAGGATGTCTGGTCAATGTGTAATGTACATGCACAATGCACTCTAAAGAGGGGTGGTGGCCCCAAACGAGCAAAGAATTTTAGGCTTAAAATTTTTCTTGTTCTCAAATTAACTACTTATTTATACCTTAGATGATTAATTTCTTGAATGTGTAAGCACATTTGACTGTCCTTTATGATTACTGTGTTCTGTTGATTCTCATTTTGTTGTTGGCTTTCTTCCTTTGATAACTATGTAAATTTAACAAGCTAATTCTCTATTCTTAGAAACAATGAACAGTACCTTTGTGTAAAGTTAAAAATATGTACAGTATATTGTATGTCTATTTACATGCAGTATTGTATATGTGCAGTCAAATTGTAACAATTCTACCTAATGAAATTGAAAAATGAAAAATTTTGTCCTGCCTTAAACATAATTTTATCACTATCATACCTCTCCCATCCTTAGAAGTAAGGGCTCGTTCACCCTTTCCTGAAAATCTTTTATTCTCCTGTAAGAGGCCTATATACCCCCTACCCTTTCCCTATTAAGATGGTATTTAAGTCTGAATTTTAGGACAGCCCAAGGAGTTAGTCATTTTTCCCTGGGTATCTCACACGTATACATGAGATATACATGTTATTTCTGTTTTTCTCTTGTTAATCTGTCTCATTTCAGGATTCTCAGCTAAGAACTCAGAAGGGTAGAGGGAAAATTTATTTTTCCTGCTATGGCTGTGTGACCAACTGGGTAACAATAATACTGATGGAACTTTTGTGAGGATTTAGTTTAGCTAATGTAAGCAAAGCATTAGAGCAGAGATTGGCACATAGACCTCGTACACAAACGTGACGTATTTTCACCTGGTATTGTTACTAAAGAGTCTACCTGAACTTGAGATATTGCCCTGAGGACTCATTTTCAGGTTTTAACCTGCAGCACAATATCAACAAATATGTATGTTAGTGAAGATTAAAAAACAAAAAACAAAAAAGCCCACAGCACTTAAAGTACAAGGCATTGAAAAAGTGTTTTGCTTTTCATATGTAACATGTAAAACATGGTTGTCCAAATATGTTCCTTTGTGCCTGCTTTGACAGTCTCAGGCTTCTGGCTTACCTGCAGCCTACTCTGGAGTACAGTTCAAATCTTTATACCAGCTGCCCACTGTTGTGTTAAATCTCCCTACACCACTCAGTGAGCTGTAACTCACTTTGATAGGGAACACAGGAAAGGCTGCTACTAAATTTTTAAGTCCTGATCTTGACTTCCTCCTTCCTTTCCTTTCAAAGTCTCTATAACAAACCAAAATTCATTCCAGCCTTCAACAGCATTAGCTGTAAACTTCAGCCTGTGGTGTAACATCACTCTGTGGGCCTAAGAAAAACCCTGTTTGACTGAGGATCTTCAGACAGCCATTTAAAGATAGTCTGCACATTAAGCACCCTCTTTTGTCTCCAACCCAACCTGTCACCCCTGTAATATAAAGTAATAGACGCTTAATGCCATGATATTCAAATGCTGGCACCACCCCCAGTCCAAAGTGTTCAGTACATTTTCTTTCACAAGTATGATTTTCTTCCATGCTTTGATTTTAAAATGCCTGAAGTTTTATTTCTAAACTGAGCACAATCGATGCAACTAAATAATGTAAAATGAAAAAGAAATTTAGAAGCTAAAGTTTATTTCATATTTTGAAACAACACTTAGACTAAGAGATGATACACAGCTCAGGAAAATAGCACGTATATAATGCTATGTGCACCCTAACCAATGCGCATTATCCTAACAACACTATTAAGGAGGGTAGTGTTACCCTCATTTTTCTGATGGAGTAATTGATTTGTCTAATATAACACATTAAGTGGTAAAGCTGGAATTTGAACCCTGGCAAGTTAGCATCTAAATGCTGTGTGTACAGAGCATGCCATAGAAGGATTAACAAGGTTACAGATTAAGATGATGCTAATTTTTCCTAGACGCTGCACATTTCTTCTGTCAAGATGCCAAAGTAAACGAAAACTTAAAAGCCAAATCCATATTCCTTGGCTGGGAGGGGAGGGAAAGGAAGCAGCAGCCAGTTCCAGCCACTAAGTACACTGTCGGATCCTTTGACAAGAATGGGCACTATTTTTCCCCGCTAAGAAATCTGATGAGGCCCTGTGCCTAAAACACCTCCCCCCCACCAAGATACATAAAATATTAAAGGTCGAACAGTGTTCCATAAAAGCCAGCACAGTTATAAACAAGGAAAGGAAAAACCAAGGTACTTGGACTGCAGCAGGGGCCAAGAACTTGGGGTAGATGAGGCAAAGCAACCTTAGTTTAAGCCAGGAGCATTGGTGCTTCTGACAGAACCCTTAAATGGGTAAAAAAAAATCCGTGCCAGGCAGAACAGCTTCTACCAGCCCAGAAAAATAAAATGTTAAAAACTATACACAAGAAATATTCAACGTTACTCTTAGAAGCAATTACTTTGTAAACCGAAAGTTTATTGAAACCCCGGAATGCAAATAAACCAACTCACATTTAAGCTTCTGTATATTGTTAGTTTTGTTGTTGGGCGAGTCGTTCCAATTATTTTAGCAGGGTGTTATCAATTCCCATCTCAGAGGTAGGCAGAGAAACTACTGAAATGAGGAATGAAAAGCAATTCTTTGCACTTGGTGGCTGTCATGATCCTCAGCATCCTATATTATTGTAAAGTTAAAGACAGCTTGTAAAATAGTGTGATATGGCAGGATTTACCTAATCAAGAATATCTGGGGTGTGGGGTGGAATCCTGCCATACTCCATTTTTGGTTACTCCCTTAAGGCACAGCTCTTCAAAGCGAAACTGTAGGTGGCTCTGAAAAGAGCCTTTGGGTTTAACGGTGGCACTCAGTTTTTAACGGTTTACGCCCTCTCCCCGCGGATGCGGCGCGCGAGCTGGATGTCCTTGGGCATGATGGTGACGCGCTTGGCGTGGATAGCGCACAGGTTGGTGTCCTCGAAGAGCCCCACCAGGTAGGCCTCGCACGCCTCCTGCAGCGCCATCACGGCCGAGCTCTGGAAGCGCAGATCGGTCTTGAAGTCCTGCGCGATCTCGCGCACCAGCCGCTGGAACGGCAGCTTGC